GATTTATAAGGTGTCGGATTACATGAGACGTACATCTTTTGCTCTTGGCATGAAATAGAACATCGTGCTAACAATTGTGAAAAATAAACCAACAACCAATAAACAAAACCTTGTACAAAAAGGTAGGCATCCAAAATTAGATTCTTTTGACATCAGGGTCATCAGAGATGTCACTCGCCGGCTATTTGCTGGAAATGAACACCTCTTCATACCTGTCACGTGCATAGCTGACCTACATTGACGAACGCTGACCTTTATGACCCAACACTGCCGCTGTTACAGGTCATTGGCTCCCTCCCTCTGCAAGTCGTCTGCGTTCTGCTGTTTATTTTGTTGACAGTTACATAGACAGATTCTTTAATACAAATGCATAAAATCGGTGATTTACAATGTGATTAGGTTGTCTGACAAAACATCCACTTGCACAGTTTGAGATCGATTGGGTCATTGGATGAAGAGATATTTACAAAAAAACGGGTCCACATGCATTTCATGCCAAACTATAGCTGATCTTGGGGACACCTGGGGATTCGATCTGCCCGGCAAGGAAAATACCTTGTATGTCTTGCACTTAAAAGACAACGTATATGAGCGGGTGTCACTAGCAGACTTCAAACAGCCAGACTGGTTGATGAACATGACCCTCACCTTACCCCACATATCTTTTAAAAACAATGGTTAAGTCTCCAAAATTACAAACAACGGGATCCTTCTCATGTCTTTCACTCCAGACTTTGATGTACAAGTTTTATGAATTCCAGGTAACACGGGCAACATGTTAGCTTCAAACGACGTGGCCTCCTATTAACGGTTTGACATACCCGATTACCAACGGGATTTTTTCGATTCAAATTGACTATCAAATCACACACTACGCTCGTAATAGATGTCTATCTCGCTGACGCTCGTGGGAGGTCAGAACGAACACTTTTGACTGGGTTGATAATACCCTGGACAAACACAATCACCAACGGTTTTGTATCGTCATAAGACCGAGATTGACACCCTTAATAAGCCTCGATGGAGTGCGTGTTATAGAAAAAAATCGATTCATGTCTCGAATATTTACATGTACGATAATCAGCTAAACCTTATCAGCCTCAAATACATATGATCGTATATTAACGGAAAACCAATTAAATACTATTTTATGTAAAAATATATATATACACACACAGGATGGGACTGTACCCAGTCGTGGATGTAGTAGCAAAAACAGTGGAAACCGTAGACTGGTTTCGTTTGCAAAAGATATGCGAGATCAAACAACAAATAGAACGTGAACGCGTTACGTGGTCGGCATAGCAGAAAAAATATCACAGGGCCGCCAATTCCATGGACGGTGTTGACAGCGCTCTGGTTTCAGTCAGCATGGGATTAGGCGTAGCAGGTATCGGGTTATTATACACCATCATGGCCGCACCCGTGGTGCTAGGCATCAAAATAACAGCCGGAGTGGTAGGGTTGATGGGATTGACCCTTAAGTTCATATCTCGCAGACTGCAACGTAAAGCATTGAAATTAGAATTCTACCCGAAGCGAAGCTAAATACGATAGACGATCATATTTCCACCGCGCTCACCGACTTTAAAATCTCCGAAGAAGAGTTTCATTTGGTGCTATCAGAAATCGCAACATATCACAGAATGAAACAAGAGATCGGACCAAGTCTCGTAAAAACGCTGTCATCAGCGAAGACGAGAAAAAGAAATTCATAGAACAAGGGAAGCAACAGGCGCTACAAGCCTTCCTTACGAAAACCAAACAAATTATTATCGGAGAAGATTCATGATAAATTGCTTCGTGGAGTTTAACATCACAGCCGAGTAGACAGCCGAGGCTTAGTGAGCATCCTTGATGATGTTAACAGTGTGAATATATGAGTTAACACAGTTCACACAATATTATCAATGTGATCAGTGAGATGATGTACATAAGTATCAAACATCTTCATTTGCAATGGGGGATTCGATTTACCACATGGGTACATTGTGTGAAGCCCATGTCTGGTATTGCTGGAATATTGCTAAAAGCGGCTCACTCACCTAACAGTTGTGGTGGTTGTAACAATAGATAGAAAGGTAAAAATAGAAAGATAGAAAAGTTAAAAAAAAGAGTAGCAAAACATCCATGGTAGCCACAATTCCCCTAGGGTGAAGTAGAAAGATGAAGGTTGCGCAACTTCTCCCTAGGGGACTTATGTGTCGGCTACCTTTCTCTCACCATGAGAGTGCCCCAAGTCAGCTGAACGCAGTTGATGTGATCCTGATTCCTTGCTACCACCAACGAAACACACGAAAGTTACAAGGAACCCACTGAGGCAACGGTGGGATACGAACAGACAATGCATAGCTGCACGACTACACATCCTAAGTCTGCACCTCAACCGATTGCGCTACCAGGGTCTTGATAGTTACATTTCGGTTTAACAGGTCTATCCTGAGATTGTATCATCCTCCTAAGCTGGGCTCCGTCTATAGGAACGCAAAGGATGTCTTGAACCTGTTTCATAAGCTGAGCACCAGACTTGTAGAAACAGTTTATCACAAATTCTACTTCCGCTTCACAGTTTGGTGTTTTTTTAACCTCCAATAAAATACAAACACGATACTCCCAAGGAGTTTTAAACATGCTGAACACGACAAACAGGTCAATGGACGCTGAAATTTTTGTTAGAAACCACAATCTGTTATTTATTTGCATGTCTAAGCTGATAATAATAACACAAATCAGTCAGTTCACTTCTGCCTTCTCGCTTAGAAAATGTTAGAAGGCTTTTCACCTCAAATAAAGGTCTAATAAAATACAATAACGATGCTGGTTGGTAGTCTAAACACTGCTGAACATGATAAATGTATAGATGGATGCTGAAAATGTTTTTAGAAGCCGCAATCCATGATTTTAGAATCGACATTCATCTGCTTAGAAGGTGAATAAGCTATTTATGGTTTTATAACACTGACACTAGCAGAGCCAATCTGCTGGTATAGAGGATACTGCGTTCAAAACCCTCCCATTGTCATTGAAAACTTAATTTTTTTTTAAAACAAACATTTCACCCTACCAACCCCATGCTCGCTTAAAAGTCAAATATTTTAGAAACTATTCGACCGATTTTCGTCAAATTTTGCATGCACCTCAGTAATTGTATATACAATGGGGCTACGGGATTAAGGACTTCCCAAGGGCTCAATTTAAAAAAATAAATAATTAAATTGAGTCCTTGGGGGGACCTGGTCCCGTAGCCCCATTGTGTGTACTACTGCAGTCAACTCCCTCGAAGACGTCACTGATGCATTATCAAGTTGACCTCCATGATATTTGATGCACATGTATGAAGTTGAAACCAGGTGTCTCTTCTTGATGTTGAGGGGGCGGTGGGTAGCCTAGTGGTTAAAGGCTTTGCTCAACATGCCGAAGATCCCGGGTTCAATTCTCCACATGGGTATGGTGTGTGAAGCCCATTTCTGGTGTCCCCTGCCGTGATATTGCTGGAATATTGCTAAAAGCGGCGTAAAACTGAACTCACTCACTCTTGATGTTGAGAATCCATCCAAGCTGGTGATGAATTGTAGATGTCGTAGGAGGATGTGTCAGTCTCTTTGAGTTTGTATAGAATTGTCGATGTAAGCCTCAAGCACAATGCTGGGCGTGATGTGTTTCATGATGTGATTTAATAGCCATTAGCCGCAAAAGTGCCAAACGGGAGGACCATCCATTGGCAGTGGTTTATAAAAAAGAGAGGATCATCAATTTGGGCAGGATCTTCGATCTGGGTAGATCCACTGATCTGTACAGGTTTGCCGAACTTGAAAGACTGGATTGCCAAATGTCACAATCAACGAAGTCGATGAAAGAGGGTTAGTGAATGCTCTGTCTGTAGACGTAGGATCATAATTGCTAGTTGGTAGAACGGTCAATTGTCAGGAATGGCAGATCGCCAATCAATGAATTTTGCTGATGTAGACAGGATCGCGGAATGTGAAGTCTTCCAGATCACCCTATCCAAATGTACCAGATTCCGATCTTGACAGTTACAGAAGTAGGCTGATGTCCAGTAGTCGAATCATTAGTGTTTGCCAAATGTTGAGCCAGAAGTCAACAGGCTCTGTCACCCTGTTCAGGTTCTTCAGGCCTTGTCTAAGAACCCAGCCATCTGAGTTATGCAAGGACAAGGAGGTAGCCTAATCATGGAGATTTTGTAAACACTATCCAACATTACAGAAAGCGCTCTTCAGCGTAAATGTATTTTAGAAAACATCCCAACCGATTTTGGGTTCATCGGCAAAGTTAAAGAATTATCATTAGTGATTTCATGAAAACCTTATATCAGTGATCAATAATATCCTATTTTTTAAATTCAGTACTCACAGTTATTATCCGATTTTCACATTTCAAAACATACATCACTTAACGCTGTGAATCGCAATGTCGTATTGTTTAAAATTAAAAATTTACGATGAAGCCTATTTTGAAAGGTTATTTTAAGCTCTTTAACTTTGTCTGAGAAAATAGTGGATGGTATCAAGAAACAGGGAATTTCGCGCACAATTCAAAACTGTGAAGTATATTTGTGTGCATGATACATTTAGAATTTTATTGGACTTCAAAGTGGGGGTTGAAAGGGAAGGACTATATATATATGTACCTGTGGCACCCAGGGGGTTAAAGATGCTGAGGCTAGTAACAATGCCAAGCAGCCTCTGACATAAGTTCATTTGATATTCAGATGAGCTAAAACTTGTCTAATGGATGACTGGGAAAAGAAGAAAGCTGCACTTTGTTGTAGTCAGGAGCATGGAATAAAGATCATACTCATATATTCAGAATAATAATAATTCCAAATTAAGAGCCAGAGATGAGGTGAATAGTTCTTCCAAAATGGCATTACCCAGCATATCGCTTTTCAGCTCTGTAGGTAACTGATACATTGTCAAACACTTCTGTATAATGCTTAACTATTCCTAAAATCCATGCATTGCATTTGTAAGTATATTTACCTTTCCTTTCTTTCTTGTTCTTTGACTTCAGAAGGGTTTTATCATCTAAAAAATAAACATTACTGAATGAGTTTGTAAGCCTTTTTTACTGCAATGTACCCCAACACCTTCAAAAATGAATCCCATCATGCACTTCCACTCAAAACCTTATCCCTCAACAGATAAATTGTGCATCTGTTCATGATGGATCTGTTCACCTGGATATATATGCTTTTCATATGAATTCTCCAGAAATACTGATGATAAAACTAGCAATATATATGTACCAACCAACTGATTTTTAAAAACTGGTCTCTTAGAAATATATTTTTTTTAAATTCGGTTGTTTCTGAAGAGAAAGTGTTTACAGTACGAGGAAATGCATTCTAAGAGGATTTAGGAGCATGATCAAGGTCAAGAGAATGTAACATTCCTAACTATTGCTAAAAACAGAGCAACTATGTTTATTCCAGTAACAGTCATAAATAGATACCATGGTGTCTGACAGTAGATAGAATATGACCACAAGTCCATTCACAAGTTTTCATAGTTTTTATGGGTACTCATTAATCACGATAATAGATTACTCATTGATCCTGATTGGCTCGTCACGCCGAAGGCCCGGGTTCGATTCCCCACATGGGCACAATGTGTTAGGCCCATTTCTGGTGTCCCCCGCCGTGATATTGCTGGAATATTGCTAAAAGCGGCGTAAAACTAAACTCAGTCAGTCAGTCATTGATCCTGACCTGACTTGTGTGTCTGTTAATCCCTTGCAATGTGGTAGTAAAGTTAGGACAATACAGATTTGAGAATTTCCATGTAGGGACAATTTAGGCTCCTTAAAAGTCAATGACAATTCAAATTATTATAATTTGTCAAATTAGAAATAGAACTATAATACAATTCATCTATTTATTCAGTGTGGCAAAATGTTGAGTGGGGTTTAACATACTGTAAAATTTCAGTCTTAGTGTGATAAAGTCTTATGCATGTGCTGCTGCTATAATCTGTTGAAAAATACCCAACTTGTATATAATTTTGATGTTTTGAAATGTTCCTATTACTTGTGGAGACAGTAGGCTCTTGTACTTAAGAAAAAACTTATAACTGATGAATTGGTGCCTTGATATGCAACAAGAGGCTATCACCTTTAATTCAACAACATCCTTATCACTGTTTACTTCTTCAAAATGCATAGGTGGAGGCAAGATCAAAGGCAGTGTTGTCCATATTGCTTTGAACAACCACTCTGTCAAGTTGTCAGAAATGCAGAAATTGGTGTACAAGTGACTATGTCTGGTTCACCATCAGGATCAAAGAAAAAGAATGCCTTGGTAAACCTCATAAATATTTTCAATGGTCACCAAAATTCATTGTCAAATCACACAAAGTCTACACTAAAAATAACACTTTCTGAATTTGACCATTCCAAAAGACAACTTAGAAGAAAACACTGATTTATAACACTGTACTCATATTTCCAACAACTGCACAGAGGCTGTGTCCCCACTCTGATTGTGTGTTCATATCAAGATAGGGCTCAAAACCTGTATGATTAGAAAACTGTATTCAACTGTCACTTTCTCTATCGTATAAGCAACATTCTCGTCAAATGAAAAGTCGTTATGACATGACCAATAACTGAGTGTCCTGAGGTCTCTGTTCAGCAAAAACTAGAACTGAGACCTGAATTTAATCAAATGAAACTGATTTTACACACTTATTTGTTTATGATACCTGCACAAGCTACCATTTAATCATTTCAAAACCAAAATCTTACATCACTGGACTAAAGAATAGATTAACAAACAAATCTCTGATAGGCATACACTCGGAAAAGGGAATAAGGCAAAATAAAATTCATTGTGATTTTTCTGTTGAAATGCCTCTACTGTTTATAGGTTTTTCTGAGAAGAGGCTAGAAAACGTACCTTTTGGATTTGCTTTCTTAGCCTTTTCTTTCTTTGCTCCTGTAAAAACAAGAATGTTAAAAATAATGTCTACAGTCCGTTTGACTCAAAAGCAGACCAATGAATTGCAATCTAACTAAAAAACTAATAAACATATAATACTCAATGAAACGCTGATCATAATCAAAACATCAGACCAACTCTGTGTTTTTTTTGCAGAATTTATGTCTTCAAGTTCAGATTAAAAGTTGTTTAACAAACTATCATTAAAATATTGACACAGTTCACTATTTGTTACGAGGGAGGAGTGCAGAGAAAGGGACAGCCACGTGTGCGAGAAAGGATGGAGACGGCACAGCACAGGTGAATGAATCAATAACTTTGTTGGCACTTGTGCACATGCTTCTCGAACACCTGGCTGTCCCTTTCTCTGCACTCCTCCCTCGTAACAAATTCTAATAGCACAATATGCAATGGTTGCCAATGTCTAATCCATTATCCTCAAGAACAGAATGAAGGGCAGATCTGCAGCCTTCAATAACCAATTCAATTGAGCGATGTGAAGCATCAGACTGTAAATAATATCACTTTTTAAGGTACACTGTGTCAGTGGCAGGTCCAACAGTAGAGTGGGAATGCTTGCCCTTTCTTGTGAAGACCTGGTGGTGTCACTGATTTTCAGTGACCTATTCACATAATTGTAAAGCTATTCTTCCCTTTACATAACATGAAATATCTTTAAGAACAGTCCAGACTGGGTATTCTTTTGCACTAACATTTTATATCTATTCTGATGCAGATGTAGCAAGAAATCAGTAACTGTGCATGGTGACTTAGGTATATCATTGAAACCTAAAATGACATTAGCACAGAATCAGCCAAACCAGTTTTGGGCAAGAACAACATCACTGGGTAATTTCTGTCCACGGGAGTCACCACAAAAATATACTGGCCACATAAAGAAACTGTGCACACAGAAAATATAAAGATAGGCAGACAGCGTCTTTATACATAAATAAAGGTGTGAACATAGCAAGTATTGGAGACAATCAAACGCTCATGCAGGTGCCAGGCGACGTGTCGTCATTGATGGTGGCCTATGGACTTCCATTGTGTTACTGCACATGCAGCCCGTGCAGCTGCACACAACATGTGAAACTCAGAAATTGCTGTAATGTCGAATGCTTGATCTCTGGTCATTCAAACGTTCACAAATTCACATGAGAAGTCACAAGCGCATCATGCCAAGATTAACATCTGCTCAACGTCTTGAAGCCATTGGAATGGTTCGAGCTGGCATGAGCCAACAACAGATGGCAGCACATTTCCAATGCCATCGTAACACGATATCTTAGGGAAACAGTAACGACGTCGCTGACCACCCACGTTCTGGGCGTCCCCGAGTAACGACGCCAAGACAGGACAGTTGGATTCGGGTGACTCATCTCAGACACAGGTTCCAGACGGCAGTGACCACATCCCAAACCATTGCCTAGGCCTTCAATGCTCATTTGGTAGCCTCTGTGCGTTGTCGATGCACTATGTGCTTCACCCGCATGATGGTCATGCTCGTTATTAACTTTGTGACTTCGACATGTGACCCCCTCCTCAATTTTGAACTTCTGACGTCATCGTTACGGATATTGTTCATGTTCTTTTGACATGTTGCTGTGGCCCGATACTTCAGCTTATAAAGTGTCTACATCATTTTGTCTTTTCTGTGTTGTATTCCAATTCTGAAGGAATTTTCTGTGTGCCCAATTTCTTTATTCGGCTAGTTTATATCTGACATACAAACTGGCAACAACATAAGTTTACTTGAAGTGTACTTTCAACCAATATGCCAGTACTATTTGCATGAGACCTAAATTTCAGAATTACCTTGTTTTTTAGCCTTCTTATTTGCTGGTTTCTTCACTTCAGCATAGACTTCATTAGTTTTTGAAGCAGGTTTCAGCTTCTTCTTATCCACAGCAGCATACACTTCTGACCCACCCTGGGATCCACTGGTTCCAGGCTTCATGACTTCATCTGAACTGGCGTAGCAGACGTTGTCCTGCATTTCTTTATGTAGACAATCAAGAATCCTCACAGTCATATATGATATTTTAGTAAAAGTTAATCATAAATCCAAGATAATAAGTATGTGCCAAAATGAGGAATGCCTACTGCATATGCCAAATTAGTCAACAGATACTATGGGTGGGAAATTAAAGTATTATCAATCTACAACCTCTAACACTTTTTCTATCATGTTGTGTTGTCTTACTTTCTAGTGGTCTTTATAGCACTCTCTGAAGGAGTTGTCTTTCCTGACAAGCACGGGAAAAGTAATAATTGTTTCTTAGGTACCTTGTTTGAAAGTATTCTGGGATTTCAAGGGGACGATGGCTGGAGGTAAGATTCAAAGAATTATTATCATTGTTCATAACACTTCAAAATTCTTAAGAATACATCCCCTAACACTTGATAGCTGAATCCCACATAGACTTGATTGGCCCAGAGTAGTAGGCTAGGAAGACAACCATATAGTGTACAATTCTAGATGTTAACTGAAAAGAATAAGAAATATAGGTATGTCTTTGGTTGTTGTATTGGCGTGTGGTCCTGTGCATAGTGCTCAGATCACAAATCAGTTGAATGAACTGTTTGAGAGACATTCTAGGAGTTGTAAGCAATAGGAATGACAACTTCTTTATTGTATAATGGCGATGTTTCAGTATAGATACCTCAAGGGTGAAAACAGTATAAGTATGTATACGGAAATGTTGCCATAAAGAAGTTGATCATCCAAAAAGACTTGTCATTCTTAAATCAGTTGAACTTTGCAACATTGAGAGAGTGGAGACTTCTTGGATGGGTGACTGTGTTTGGCAGCTTGACTCCTGAGACTTTCAAGGACTTCAGTCCTGACCCACAACAAAGCACATGTGATACATGGTCTCATCTCAGGTAAGTGAGGACCTTCAACTTGTTCGAAATTGCCTCTGTTCACCCAGCAGGAAACGGGTACCTGGTGGGACAAGTCATGTGACTATTAACTTTTTAGTGCCTCACAGGATGCTTGGGTTATCCGGGGTGATAATAATCAGATTGTAGTGCTTTGAGAGTGCCCCTCAGTGGTGCCTTTATTATTATTATTTATGTTTTACAGATTACAGATATTATGCAGCATAGAGGGTTAGGGTGATCCTGGCACAGTCAGGCTGGTAAGGCTCATCATCAGCTCAGGGCCCTCTCCCCCTCTACACGCAGGCCAGACAGCGAATGGAACTTCTACCAGGAAACACTGCCTAGTCGGACCCACCAAGAACTTTCCAGAGAATATGTAGACTCCCCAACACTGCAGCCTTCTGCATTACCCAGAGTGTCAGAAGGGCTGTGCTCCCGGTAGAGAACCCGGGCACACACCTGATCTGCGCCAAGAGATCAGGAGGTACCAGACCAAGAGCACCGAGAACAATGGGGAGCCTGACGACAGTGTACTTGGGATGCAAGCGAGACATTTCAAAGGCGAGGTCCGCATATTTATCATGCTTTTCCTGAATCTTGTCAATCACATTGCTGTCAAAAGGGACAGAAAATTCAATGATATAAATAAATTCATTGGCTTTATCAAAAAGGACAAGATCAGGTTTGTTGGCAGGAATTCTTCTGAGGCTGTATATAGGCCTGTTCCACAAAAGTTTGAAAGCATCATTTTCCATGACGCCCTGGACATGTTCAGGGTTGTACCATGGATGGACCTCGGAATCAAAGCCCCAGGCATGGCGAAGATGGTAATAAAAGCAGCGAGCTATGCCATCATGTCGTTTAAGATATGCTGTTTGTGCCAAGGAAGGGCATCCACTGACAAGGTGTTGGACAGTCATTACACAGTCGGCATTTCCTGTTAATATTTTCTTTAAGAATCACATTTTGGCGATTACAAGTGGGAAGTGACTGGTCCTGAGCAGCAAAAAAGAAGCCCTTAGTTTCACATTTGAGACCAGCCGACTTCATCCAGGCGAAGGAGTCGGTGGGATTGCTATTCTGTTCCACACACTGCATGTACACACAAAGCAATGGCTTCTCAGAAGGCTTATCAGAAAGCTTCTCCACAAAAGACCAACTCTGGGCAGACTTGGTGAAGGACTTAACCTGGTTTACTCAAATCGCTGTACCATCTAGCAGTACATCGCCATCAGCAAAATCAACCTCAAATTTCAGATTCTGTCCAACAACCTTGGCATGCTTAAAATAGCTGTGGAATTCCTTGCTTTCATCATGAGTCTTGACATGCATCACCAGAGGATCATCCAATAAATAAATATGTGCAAAAGTACACACAAGAATTCTATCATGAAGAGCCTCCACATTAATCAAACCCCGACCTCCAGAATTGATTGGCACATAGAGAGGAACGAGGGTGGTGGGCTCTGTTATCAGACATCATCCTTCTGGTCAGGCGGTCAAGACTCTGGATGTCTTGTTTTGTCCAATCAACTACTCAAAAGGAATAGGAGAGGACTGGCACAGCAAAAGTATTGACCTTGTTTTGAGCATTTAGCTCTGACCTCCATATTTTCTTTAAACGAGATTTGTACTCAGCTCGAAGTTTGTCTTGAATCTGGGCATTCTGGAGCTTGTCTCGAACTTGCATTCCAAGATAGGTGTAGGCCTGATCTTCCACAAGATCAACTCCTCCCCCCTTGTAACTTGACCGATCCATCATTAGTTACCTTGCCACGTTTCAAATGAAGAGTATTACATTGTCGAGTCCAAATGTCATGTCAATATTGTAAGAAAGGGACTCGACAAGGAGAACCTGTTCTTTCAAATTGGTATATCCTTTGGCAAGGAGCTCGATGTTATCCATGTAAAGGAGATGAGTAAGCAGTGTTGGGGATCTGTGCTGAGGAGGTCCGGGATACTAACCCTCCTCTCTGTTGAGCAGGAAGCTCAAAGGATTTAGAGACAAACAAAAAAGCAAAGGACTGAAGGAGTCCCCCTGGAAAATTCCCCTTCTGATTGGAATAGATTCCGAAGTCTGCACCTGCCCTTGCAAGTACATCTCAAGTTGAGTTGACCAGCAACTCATTAAAGACTTAAGTAAATCAAGTAGTCGCTCAGGGAGGTCAATACACTGAAGAGACTTCAGAATCCATTTGTGAGGAAATGAACGCAGGCTTTTTTGTAGTCAATCCAGCACATGGAGAGGTTACGGTGATATGTTTTAGCCTCTTCCAAAATTATTTTCTGTACAAGAAGTTGATCCTTGCACCCCCGACATCCCTTTCTCGACCCCTTCTGCTCTCTGTAAATTATTATTATTGTGACAACTCCGGAGAACATCTCTTGTTTCTGTACTTAATGATTTGGTGGACCATGATGTAATTCTTGGTTAATGATGGTGTCACTTCCACAAATGGCACATTTGATGACGTCACTCCGTCAGTTCCGGTCTGTATTTCATCCACTCCAGGAAGACAAAGTGTTATCCCAGCTTGGATATGACTCGCTTCTAAGTTTAGAGCTGTACTGCCTCCAACACTGCAGGGCTGTCAGACACAGCTCAGGTCAACATTAACTTGCAGTGTGAGTATATCTTATGTGTGTGAGAATGAGTTATCTTAAAACCAGGAACCTCCTGTGAGTAATGATAACACAGGAGACTGCATGCTGAAATCCTGTGTGGGTTTTCATAATGTTAAAAACAAAACTTCACAATTTGACATCAGATTTGTTCAGCAATATTGCAGCAATCCTGTCTGTAAATAATCAAGAAATGACCAGACAATCCAGTGATTGACATCATGAGCGTATTAGGATATGATGAGTGCGGTCTGTACATAATCATGTCCATGATAGGTCTTACCACCCATGAAAACTTCATATGCCAGACAAGCTTTTGTTTGGATACTTTAGTACTCACAAGTGAGTGCTAAAATAAACTAAACATTTTTCAGATACTAGGATCAGCACATACAAGCAAAAAAGTGACAATTTACCCAACCGTAGCATGTGCTGATACATATGGCATGATGCTGTTATTAAAATTAGTATGACGTTAACTAATTCACAAGAGTATTGGATATAACAGGTGTAAGGCATTCTGAGAATTATGCCATCTTTAGCCATTTGGCTTCTGATTTCATCCAATTTCCTACGGAAGGATATATAGTAAAATGTAATTTTCTGAATAAAATTGATATTTTATACTTATCCTGACTCATGCTCTTTTTGCTTGTCTTCTTCTTCTTGCGAACATAGGGGAACACTTGTATCTCCCTGGGGCGGTGGGGTAGCCTAGTGGTTAAAGCGTTGGCTCGTCACGCCGAAGGCCCGGGTTCGATTCCCCACATGGGCACAATGTGTTAAGCCCATTTCTGGTGTCCCCCGCCTTGATATTGCTGGAATATTGCTAAAAGCGGCGTTAAACTAAACTCAGTCAGTCAGTCAGTTGTATCTCCCTAATTGAAGCTCCCTTCAATGTAAAATCACTAAATAGTACTCACCAAGAGTTGCCTCCCTCTAGCCAAATGCGTGGGAACGGAGGTGCCACCTCTGCCCACATGCTTCACTCTCTCTTTTATAACGAGCCCAACACTTGAATTTTCAGGGAAATCCAAAGTGTTATGTGGGGAGGATGGGAGGGCTTACCTCATGAGTCAGGATAAGTATAAAATATAAATTTTATTCAGAAAATTACATATTTTTCCTTATCCTGACTAATGCTCTTTTTGCTTGTAGAATCCTACGGAAACGTAGGTGGGAAACAGAATACTTTGGATTTTAATAATTAGTGATTTATAAATGTAATAACCCCTACGGGAACTTCATAATGGCACTGTAATTAATATAATTCCTGCTGCTAAGTTCTACCAGCTGCCATAGATGAGGTACTACATTATATAGATATTATGATAATAAAAGTAATAGTATAAGGCGACTCCAAAGTGGAGAAGCGACCCAATGTACATACAATATCAGTACTGGGCTTAAGACTAATGTAGACTTAAGATATATATATATAAAATAGCACAAAACTCCGTAGAGTTATAAGCTAGATAGTACTGTTATGA